AAAAATAATAAATAAATAAATAAATCAAGGCGTGAAGGTCACAACCTGGGCGCTCTTTCTCTCTTTCTCAGGGGGCAAACACAACTTTCCTTGCCCCGTCCTCGTCCCCCCCAGCCCCCAGTCCCACCCAAAACCTCCTTGGGAGGACTCGCTTCTCTTCCCCATCTCCCTTCACCCCCCCCTTGTCTCTTGAGGGAGGGGTGTCCGGATTTCTGACCAATACATTCATTTATTTTCCTTTTTTAAAGAGAGAAATCCCCAGGATTTGTTACCGACGCAGCCCCCCAAAAAATTCCAATTTCCCCCTTTTTATGGCCGGGGGATTCACCTCCTCCCCCCTCCCTCTGGCTTTTTCAGAGCTGTGCCCCTCTCCCGAAGGCTTTGAATTTGTTATTTATTTAATCCCCACTCCTTTTTTTTTTTTTTTCCCTTTCCCCCCCCTCTGTAAAATAAGTCTGCGGGGACGTGTGAAGAATAGTTGTACAAGAATCCGGCTCTTTTGTCTATAAAGCCGCCCTCCCACCGCTCTCCATCCCTCGTCCCCCACAACCGCGGCCAGAAACACTTCGGGAGGGACAAAACCCCCCCCCGGAACGGCGGAGAAAATAAGGCGAAAAATCCAAATAATCCCATTTCGGGCGTTATTTAAGGGATTATTTCACTGCTAGGCGGGCTGAGGGCCGCGGAATATGGACCCGGGGACGTTTTGTGTTGTTTTTTTGGGGTTTTTTTTTTAAGTACAAAGCGGCTTTTTGACAGCGCGGGGAAGAAAAATCCGCGGCATTGTCTCTGCGGATTCATTGTGCGCGGCATTTCCATACTGACCGGGCCGTAACCTGTCCCGCGGCCCATTAGCAATCTGTGCTTCCCAGGAAAAAATGAAGTACCTTTCTGCCGGGGGGGTCTGCGGGAGAATAGGGGGGGAAAACGGGGCGAAAAAAAGCTGGCGGAGGGTGAACTCTGCCTCCTCCTCCTCCTCCTCGGGGTGCGGGAGGTGGGAATCCAGTCGGGAGCGGCTTTGGATTCCCAGCTTGTTTCCAAGCTATAAATACATATATTTTTACGTTTTGGTTATTTTTTATTTTTTATTTTTTTTTACTATTGGGCTCTCCCCGCCCCAGGCAATGACACGTAATTAATTAATTTCTTTTTTTATTATTATTATTTTATTTGCCTGCAACTTGCAGGCAGAGCTGGCGAAGAAACCCTTTTTTTTTCTTTTTTTTTTTTTTTTTTTTTTTTTTTTT